CATCACCACCCTTCATTTTTTTTCTGAAACAATCTAATTTTCTGCTGTTGCTCTACTCCCATTAAAATAATTGGTACCACACCGTATTTTTCTATTTTTATATTCATTCCTGCATCTGAAAAAGCAATTTTATGCCGGCAAAGGCCTAAGTCCAATTTACTTGCTGGTTATTACACAATGGGACACAGCAGTATGTGACATCTACTGAGAAATACAAATGCCAGAAGCAGAGTCAGAAAGTGAAGACTGGGCACAGAGCCATGTAGCAAAAGGCAGTAATGCAGGTATACTAAAAGCTAATGAGGATGAAGAAGAAAGCCATAGTACTGTTCTCTTTTGTGCTAACATGTATACTTCTCAATAATCTTCTTTCCAGTTGAAACCACAACCACAGTGCAGTGAGTGGGACATTGGAAAATCAAAACACATGTAATCAAGCAAGTCATAAAGTGTCACAATATTGTCACAGTACAGTGACTGGACTGAACTGACAAGTAAGCTCCAAACAATAAAACGAGGCTGTTTTGTCTGATGATCAAGAGGACTCGAGCCACAGTTTCTGTCCCCAGCCCACAGCCTGCACGTAACAATAAAGAGACTCCTAGGTGAGCAAATTCCTGCAATACCTTCCACCACAGTGCTTAAGATTTGTAGCTGTTCCATTCAGCCTGTAGAGGTGGGTCTTCTCCTCAACTATAAGTTTTTAGTTTCAAGTTTATAGCAGTATACAGGTAGAAGTGAGTTTACAATCCCAAATTTCAAAATAAATTACACCCATGAAAGAGATTTTCTTAAGCTCTACATGCAAGTCACCAGATTCCTGAAGAAAAATTATCTTTTATTACTTTTATTAAAATGCAGTATACAGCCTTTTACCTTCAATATGCAGGGAAGCCAGGTCATCAGGCAGAAAATAAAAGGCAGCAGCATAGTGTCCAATGCCATGGGAATATCAGCTTCTCTTAATCTGACAAAGAACTAAGGATCAAACATCTCACAATTATCTGTTCCTCTAAGCAAAATGTTAATTGAATGAAACATATACATAATAAGCAGGCAGCATTCCCATAGGAGACCAGGATGACAGAATTCTTTCACATAATCAGCTGATATCAAGTCTCCCTACTCATTTGGTTTCTCTCCTGAAAAGACACAGCGTGGGGAATCTCTCACCCGCCAACTGACAAGAAATAGATTATTTAGTCTTTCTATTCCTCCTCTACTGGACTGCTGTTCACTGGCTTTGAGAGTGACTCCACAAAATATACATAATACAAAACCAATGGCATTCTATGTTTTTCTTTGTAAGATTATATGATCCAAGCCAACATCCTTACAATTTTTTCTCTAAATTCTCAGGGGACCAGAAGAAACCAAAACAGTATTAATCTCAAAGGATATCTATCACCTTGTCTTGGTAACATTGTAAACTGTTGCCAAAAGGCAAGGGTCTTATCTTCTTGGTGTTTCCTACTAGGATTAGCTTCCAGTCCCCTCTTCAAAGAGAACAAAAGGGCATTTTCTTTTATTTTGCTAAATAAGCACTTTATTCTCATCACATCAGACTTATTTTTAGAATATTTGAATAGAATATCTTTGTCAGTTGCTACTTCATAAATAGAGGTTGCTAAGGAAGGAACAGTAGCTGTTTTTCCTTAAGGAACAGTAGCAAAAGAATATGAAACAGCAGATGATTTCTTAGCAGAAACAGCAGACTAAAAGTAGCACATATACTGTGGTATTTCAAAAACATAGAAATGCCATTTCTAGTTTTTCTTTTACAGTTGTAGACATGGTCACTCCCCTTTTTTTAGTATTATTTGCCTACTTCAGAGCAATCCTAGGAATTCATGGCTTAAGGATCTTGCATTCAGAACCACATTAAAAATTGTGACCAAAACTATGAGGTCTCTGTACCTGCAAAACACATGTATTTAGGTTTAACTTTGGAATGTAGGAAGAAATTTTTTAGAAAAGGGATTTGGTTTCTTATTTTTGTTTATTTATTTTGCTGTGAACATTGTCAGATGAGAACACTGGTGCCAAGAATTTGGTTTTGGGGATTCAAGCTCTTTAATGGGCCTACTACACCCCCATTTTAGAAGACGGATTCAGTAATTGTTCAGGAAGCTGACTGCTGCACACTGTTCTGGCTGTAGTCACTAGGGGAAAATATTAAAACAGCAGACCTACTCTGGGGAAAAAAAAAAAAAGAAAGGCTTGGGACTTGTCCACACAGGGGACAATTCAGGATGGTTTTTCTGAATTAGCTAGAGATTTGCTGTGGATTAGTTAGAATCAAATAAAACCTCTGGGTGTAAACTTTTGTTCAGAATTAAACTGTCCTAATTAAGTTAGATTAGCCTACTTCCAAATGTTTTACACAGCTAGTCACAACAGACCAGAGTAGAAGGCATGAAAGGGTATCTAAAATGGTCTGCTGATGAGCACAGCCACGCTCCCCTTATGCCATCACATCTCACAGCAGAATGCAGTATCAAGAGCTGACAACTGGCATGGAAGAAACTGAGTTCAAGGACACGACAGGCAGAGAATGGGATGTCAGTTCTCAGAAGACATGCAGCTGGAGCCTGTACACAGGCTAGTTAGAGTGCTTCCAGCTACAGCAACCACCAAACACCTGGAGCATAGGATGGTTACAGGTAGGTGGAAGCTAAGCACCTTGGAAGTCCTAATGACACCACGCTTACCTCCCCTTGCTGACTAGAAGAGCATCAGCAAACACAGGGGGCAAGTTTCACACAGGATATGCTGCACTTCCTAGGGCTCTTTACAGAGGAAGAACAAGCTCCAGTACTGACCAGAGAACCAAGTACCTAATCCTCTGTGTTGGAAGGGGACTGAGGCTTCATAAGGCAAACACAGGCAGCTTAGTATGAGCAACAAACCTGTTAAAGTCATACCTTGGTCTGGGAACTCGGCAAGTGCAGAGCAGAAACCAGGCTTATCAAAGTCACACGAGGGTTTCTTTCTGGGTGTTCACAGTGTCTTCTTCCCCGAACATCAGGTCAAACCTGGAAACTCTAAGAAGCTTTATCAGCCATTTTCACACAAGAGAGGATGACAAAAAGGCAGACTTGTGTTATACTGCAAAGTTTCTAGTGGCCAAAAGCAAGTGTAAAGCTTTAACAATCCTAGGCATGCAGCAGAAGTTCAAGTGGCAGAGACACTGTAAATATTTGCTTTTCTTTTCTTTGTGGAAATCCCTGAAAACCAAAAGGCCTAGAAAGTGGAGAAGAAGGCCAAAAGCTGAAGCCATACTAGGTACTCCTTTAGCTTTCCCCTTGTCCAAGTGAGAACTAGGCAGCCACTGGTGCCAGCTGCAGTTATGCCTGTAGTGCACTTCATGATCTATCCAGTCTCTCAGAGGTGCTTGAGGGGAGAAAAAAAACTCTGCATGCTGGTGTACAGCAGGAAAATCCGGTATGCTGGGGCTGAGGCAGCTGTCAGAGGCAGAGCTGGGTAAAAATGCTCTTGATGTGCCTGGATGGAGGTGCTGCAGGGCTGAGAGGTCTGGAGGTCTGCTCGCCCTTCCGCCTGCAAATGCTCCTGAGTGTCCCCAAGGCCCAGGCTATGCAGATGGCCAGGGACGTATTTGATCAAAACAGACTCAGTTTATCTGCTCCCAAAATGTAATGCACTCTGCTTTCTGATGGCAAGCCTCAGAAATACCAAAATTAGACTTCAGAAGAGTATAAAAAGCTCCCCGCTAACATAATGTGCAAATGAACTGTTGCACTTACTGTGATCTTGGGCAGTGACAAAATTAGAAGGCAACATCAAACAGCAAAGAAAATTGCAGCTAAAAAATACCAACATTATCCTCTTTTAATATATATTGTCAAAATTAACATTTTTAAAATCTGAAGAAATGTGAGCCCGGATGCTATCACCGTCTGACTTATGCAGTGCCTGATTATAAATGAACAGCAGAATCCATATAAGAGAATCTGAAATGGTATGGATAGGAGCCCAGCTGGTGTCCCCATATGCCTTAGAAATTCCATTTTTAGGAACACAGCAGCATATAACATTAGGGATGCTTCTCAAACATCTCATTTATAAATAGAGCAGAGCTGTTTCACTGAAGTACACACGGAAAAGGTCCACAAGAATAATACAATCAGTTGCATTCAAAACCACTAAAATGGCTCAACCACACTGTTTTCAGTAGGAACCACTCTGTACCAGAATATTCCCTGAATGAGGAATGATGCTTGCTCATCAGTGTGACTTTTTTAAAAACAATCACCAAAAAGCCATTTTAGTAAGAAAAGTGACAAATTACTTTTGGTTTTGGCAAACTGCTCCTACTCAAAGCTTTTTTGGGTCCAGAATGGAAGAGGTAAAGTGTCACCCTGAGAATCAGGCCTTTTGATATTGTTTTCATAACTTCTAGCCACTTTCCCAGGAAAGTAACAATAAACATAGGTGTTTATCCATTCCATTAAAGATTTGCCTTTTAATGGACATCTTTCATGGCCAGTGTGGTTGGGAAGGTGGTGACCTGACTGCCCAATCCCTGATCGTTGTGGAAAACCTATAAATACTGAAAGAACAAATAAACTTCCTTCTTCTTTCATCACACTCGAACTGCATCTGTGTGAATCATTTCGTGTCCATCAGTGACAGTAAATCCCAAATTTCAGGGCAGTGCAGAGCTAGAGATGTGGGAGGGCAAATTCTTGCCACTTTTGAGAATCAGTCAGAGCAGTGTCTGGAGCCTGGCTAGTCCACATTCTGGGGAGAGACTTTCCCCAACAGGCTGTGGACTCTGCAATACAGCTCTTCTCATGCTTTTCAAGTTCATCAGAACCACCTCTAAGGGAATGTCATTAACTGTGGGGATTTCTGGTTAATTGGGAAAGTTATGTCACCAAATGCAATTCACATAAAATCATAATTTCATTATAGTCACACTATCAACCAAAATATAAGTAAAGCAAAAATAATAAAATAATAAAAAAATATACACTACATATGAATGAAAAATTATTTTATTTAAAAATACATTATACAGCAGAGTGTCTCTCTTTTTGTTTTCTCACTGCTGGTTCACAGAGATAGAATGATAAATTTAACCCAAATATTTGACTGGGAAAGATCCTGAGAAAGAGACCAGTTACAAGCTGATGATGTACAGTACACTGAAAAAGAGTCATCTCTTTTAACATAAAAGAATCTCTTGGTAATCTTATAAATCAGATATAAAAAATGCAGATTTGCTACCATGCAAAAATGAGTGAAGATTTCATTTAAATCTGCACACAGAGAAATCATTAGTACCTCAGAACCTAACTAGCTAGACTAAGAGCAGGGTAAGTGAGCTAACACGGTGATACAAACTTTGGATCTACTACAATTTTGTAAACACAGTTGATAGTCTAATAAAGGTGGATTTTCAATCACCTAAGTAACCTAGTTGTAGCTAAGGACTCTATTCTAGGTTTTTTCCTCCCCACAGATATATTTCTTCAGTCTCTTAATTCTCAGCTTAGCACAATGACTTCGTGGCATATGCTCTATTGCACTCAGAGACAACTTGGCCTTGCCCTGTTTGCCAAGCACTCTTTAGGTAGTTGTATTTTAGTGAAAGCAAAGGCTAAAACAAAAAGTAAAAGCAGGCATTACCTGATGACTATGTGAGAATGCATTAAAATTCATCATAGAAAAAATATACCTGATTCTACCTTGACTATACCTTGTGTTTCAAACATACTCTAACAATGATTAATGCACAGGAAATACACTGAACTCTGGAAAATTTAAGGCCTAAAATACTCAACAGCCTCCACTGACCAATAGCATTCTCAGTGTTTCTATAGTGCTAGCATTTTACTAGCTCCTGCCAGAGGGAAACTTTCTGGCAGATATTAAGAATGTCTTCAGTATTTACAATGTTCAGATTCATCTGGTGCTCAATTTTTATGGACAACTTCACTATGAATAGTCAGCAAGACTCTTCCAAAGGGGAGGCTTAATCTGAATATTCACAGCAGTAACAGAGATATGGTAACACTGGCTCATGCTGAAGAAAAATCAATTCGTCAACACCACGCAGACTGGCAGAGGATTTTTTTTTTTTCTTTTTTTTAAGAGTATGAGCCTCAAACACAAACAGAGATAAAAAGCTTTGTAGAGAAAGTCTACCTATCCTGGTCAATTAGGCTGAAAAAAAAATTTGTTTTTTCCAAGAGTCTTCCATGAAAATGGAGAGTAGAAACTCAGATGAACTTTTCTCACTAAGTTGGTGACCCTCTTCTTATCTTAGCACCCATACTCCCAGCATAGTATCAGGGAGTATAACAATCATGAGAAGATGCAGGCTGCCTTGAATAATCTGTTTAAATGATTTATGAATAGCACAGCTTCCCATCAGATATGCTAAGCTAAGAACGAAGCCCTTAACCTTTCATGGGATATCATTAGTAATAAAGAATATATCAAAGATCAAACTTTCTATATGATTCTCATTTCTTTTAACCTAGAATACATATATGTATGTCATCCAAGACATTCAGGAACTACAAAACAACAATTCAACTACAATTATGTCAGGAAAATATCCAAATAAATAAACTTTTAATTATGATACAATACTTATTACAGTAAAAATTGGCATTTTTTTTCTCTTCAAAAGCAGAAGCACCAGTCTTACATGTAACATACTGTTTGAATGATATCTTACATGGAATACAGCGTAATACAATGTGCAAACAGCATTTTCATACAGAACATAATATTTGCTAGTTTTTATACACTGAAATTGCCTCAAATGGAAACAAGTTCATGCTGAATTAAAAATGTAGATTTTAAAAATCAAAGTTAAATCAAAATACAAAGTACTGCTGGAATAGGTACATGAACCATTGAAAACAATGAGAAGCCAAAATAGAGGGAAAGGTCAGATAATTAGTGCTCAGTTTGTCCCATTCCATCATAAAAGTAAACAGTTAATATTTCTGCTAGAAAGTAAAGTGACGTTCTAATATTTAAGAATTCTTCAAAATGTTGGTATCCTTTTAGTGATGTAAAAATCAAGTCAGAAATAGGACTTCTAAAAATTTCTTATTTTTGATACACTGCAAATATCATGTGTGGGCTGTGAAAAGAGATGAAGTCCAATGGAGTGAATATACATCAGCATCATCATGTGACTTCTGCAAAGGCCGTGATGTGGTTCTACAAATTAAAGGAAAAACAAACAGATAAAAACCACAAAACCACACAGACAGACAGCAGTCACCATTGTGAAAACTTCTGCCTCCTGTGCTTGAAGGGCAGCCTTGTACTTGGAGACTATTGCAGGATGATAACTGATTTTCACTGCAGTGCTCTCACTCACCCCCATAGCAATTCTGAAAGACTGGATAGGGAAGCATGCTAAACAAAGTAATTATGTGTGATGGTGCTATTATATTTTAATTTTAGATGATTTTCATTTGTTTTAAATTAGGTTTAATTTTAAATTACATGTGAAAAATTCAGTTAGCTGTACTTTTATTGCTATGCTATTCATAATTGTAAACAAAATTCCTAGAAATTAAAATGACAGTTTCTGACAGATTATAATACTCTCCGTGTAAATACAATTTTAATATTCATTTTTTAAAGATTATTTTCTCCCCACGAGCTCAATGGCACTGAATCAAGTAGCAAAATACTTGAAATCACATGGCATTTGGCAGTAAAGAACTTATATTCAATTTTTTTTTTTCAGAATCACCAGTGTCCAGTTGCAATCTAAGAACATTTTCCTCTTTCCTTCAATGGGACAATTCTTAGGAGCACTGAGATGTGTACTGGAACACAAACATTCTACATACAACTCTAAAACCCTACAGCATCCCAAAGAGCTTGGCTACTTTTTCATACTTAAACCCAAGCAAGTGACTCTGCAAACACCTGAAGGGGAAGGTATCACTGTCACAGTGATGTGCAGGATCCAGAGGAAGTGTATTTCCCTTTCAGCATGCAGTACCCTTGACTGCCACCATTTTTTACAAAATATGCAATGGTGACATTAGTAAAGGCAGCCTTGATGTTAATGTGTCTGTTCCCAAGCACAAAAATGCACAGAGGGTAAAACACCAAGCAAAGCACTGTGTATTTTTCCCATCACTTTGCCTCCTGGGGCAGATTATATTTCTCAGTTCTTCTTTAAACTGCCTGAATATTTGTCTGTCAGTCTGAGCAGGAGATAGGGAGAGATAGGCAGGCATCTTTTCACATTAGACAGAGGAAATTAGAAATACTTTGATTGGAGAGCTGCCTCTTATGCCTCCATCTCCAAGCCAGGCTGGCAGCTTTGTTCCCTCTCTCACTGTGCCATAACTGTTCTATGTTCTTCTCCAAGGGGAGAAGCTCTCTTCCACCTCCCCTACATTATGCATTGCTCTAGCAATGTTCTTGCTGTATTTTATGACAGCTTTCATAAAAGAATACTACTTAATAGCAAGAATCTATGTATATTCTTCCCCAAAACAAAATCTATGTATTTTAAATAACAATTATTAAACCATAGCCAGATTCTTTTTTTAAAAATCATTAGAAAAAAAAAGAGTGTAATTTTCAGTAAAAAATAGTAATAAATGTTATTGCTTACAGATTTTTATTCTGCAGAAAAAAATGCAAAATTACACTTCCTAATTAGAAAAAAATAATCAACTCCAAGCATTTTTTTTTTGGCTGGCCATCTTCTGTTTTGAGTACTCAAAATACAGTGGGAAAACTCAATGACTCTGGAGTTGCTGTGAGGCTATGATGACATTTTCTTCATAGTATTTACTTTATTTTCTTTATTTAGACCTCAAAAGTCATCCTGTCAACTTAAACTATCCTCAGTCTAAAATTATTCACTTTTTTCATAAGATGGACTAAAAATGAGGAATTGGAAGGAAAAAATAATTCCTCTTTATTTCAATCAATTTTTCAAGTCCTGCTACATGCCATCCTTGTCTCTAAGTGACACACATTTGTCTGTGATGCAGAGAACCAAATGCTCTTTCATGTGGCATTAATTCAAGAGTGGATAACGATTATTTAGGGAAAGGAGAATGTGGTTCACACTTCTGCCAGCTATACTTCTAAAATGAGCAGGTCACCATCCTGGGAAGACATGCAGAGCATGGGATCTAATAGCACAGAAGAAAATCCTCCTTCCTCAATAAGCCCTCAAAGACAACTGCTAAGCTGCTGATCATAGACCTATTGATTTGAACCCTGCTGAAGGCCTGTCAATTCATTTCCAATGGATTTAGCAGGGTGATGCATAACTAGGTCAAAATTAATCACTTGCTGATGGCGTTACTTCTGCTCAGTTTTGCTGTGACAAAGGTTAGAGTGAGATACTATCTACTATCAGCAAACAGATTCACACAGATGCAGGAAGGCAAGCAAAAAACCATGCACAAGACCTCAGCTTCTCCATGGGAAATCATTTTCCCTAGAGTTCTGAAAAGAATCAGAAACGCTGAGGGTCTACTCAGTGGCAGCAGTCTCACAGGCAGACCAGCATTTGCACCGTCCATTCCAAGAGGACAGTACCAGGCTGGTGAGCAAAGCATGCATCGTAACTGCGCTCTCACACCACTAACAAACAATGGAAAGCCAAAGGTTAAGCCTTGAGTGCAGGTTTCTGGGGGAAATGATCCACACCTGTATATCTTCTGTTAAGTTTTAATTAATTTCTGTTGATAAGCAATGCTATAGCTTCAAAGCATTGAAAAAATACATTAAACTTTGTGATTTGCAGTTTTCATTACATATAGTAAATATTTTTAGGTTGATTTTTTTCTTTTTGCTTTGTTCTTATTGATACAGTTAGAAACATTCAAAAATAGTCATCATCCTAAAAAGATTTTTCCTTTTTTTGAAAACAGAAATTTGAAAATTGTTTGTAATTTTTCCCACAGTAGTTTGTTAAATAGAAAAATACTACCGTAGTACTTTAGGCAAATGATAATTGATCAAACAATAATAATAATGTTATCACACAACTCTCTGAGTCAGCAGAGTGTATTTTCTGCTTCTGCTGGAGAAATGAGTTTTGTGCAGAAGGATGCACTGAGGCGGAAGCGCCCCGCAGCCCTGCACAGAAGGCGGGCCAGCCGCACACGCTCACTCGGTGCGCTCCTGCGCACATACGTTATTGCCTTAGAGGAAGGGGCTCGCAGCGCTCCGTCCCCGACAGCCACGAGAAGAACCTAAGGATGCGTGCTTTGAGGGAGGTTCCTGGCAAAGCATCTTCTTGACTGTGACTAATGCCTTGATTCTGTAACACCTACAATATATATGTACATTTGAGGAGCTCACACTGAATGTATTGTTCCACTTCCCGTGTTTAGGTATTAGTTTATCTGAGCATAAGATGCAGTGATCACCGTTTGCATTCAATCAGAAATAATTCTTGTACAATCCCCCAGAAGTAGTTTCAAGCAGAAGAGTGGGACATGAATACAAATTCAAATGTTTGACATTGAAACAAAACTGCTTATGATTTTTTATGAGCTGACTCTCCTGGGTATGTGTTTGTGGTATGTGTGTGAAGCAATGTTGTATTATATCTCCTTTAACAGACTGTATTATCTAGAGAGAACAATTATGACAAAAACTGCCTGTAAGATGAAGTAAGCACATGGGCTCTCATCATACCATCCTGGAGAAACAAGTATGGACACCCACAGATGCTTTTGGACATCAAACACTACAGTGTTTGGAGACCTCTCAACTAAAATATTTCAAAGCACCAGACATGGACACAACCCTCTCCCCCATCCACCCACAGTATAATGAGCTAAAGCATCCTTGTGTTTTGCTTCTAGCTGTGAGCTCAATGAGAGGTGATCCCCCTGGAGAGCTGTCGGGAGCAGGCCAGGCTCCCTGGGCCACGGTGCTGTGTGCACACCAGGGCACATAACTATTGGAGACTTGGTACCAGCATGCTTAAGACCAAGGAAAAAGCAGTAACATTGAGAATTAAAATTTTATGACATTGTGAAGAAGCTGTTCTGTGTCTTGTGAGTAATCAAGATGGAGACAATAGAAAAAACAATACTCCTTAAATTCTGAAGAGGAAAGCTTTCCCAGTCTTAAAAATACTAGCAGAATTCATATCAAGTGCAATATCTACACTTAGAATTGCTAGAATGTTTTACTGCCATCATTGCCTTTGGCATATATACAATAGAACAATTATTGCTGTGTCAAACTCAAGAAGATTTCTGCAAAAGTTAAACCTGATAGTCACTAAAAAGTGATATAATGGGCAACAAGAATGTCACATATTGCGAGAGGAATTCCAAATACTTATGACCATTAAAACTTGGAAATGGCAGGAGAGAGCACCTAATCTATCTCTTTCAAGTTCAGTTAAGCTGGATAGTCAGTCCTACGGGGGAGTATAAGAAACTTCATTGTAACAAGGAACAGTGACTGCATTTGGGAAGGTTTGGGCACTGCTGACAAAAGTAGCAGTAGGAAGGAATGCCAAGCAGAACCTTGGGGAATAAATGCAGTTTAGCTGTCAAACAGAGCACTGCCAAGAACCCACTGTGCATATAAGTAATACTGAATAGCTACAGAAAGCACTGATAATCACACACTGTAATTATCTCAACTCACAGAAGATGAACCATCTCCTGACCCAGTGCTTCCTTCTCAAACTTTCTATCTCAGTATTCTATCTACTGCCTCCATTAGTCCTGACATGCTCCATGTTGTATTTGATTTTTTTAAAGCTAGAATACTTATAAAAAATAAATAAGACTAGCAAAATCATAAGCTACTACTAGGAGACCTCTGTAAGCCTTGGCCAATTTCAGGTGACTTTTGCATGAAATAATGTCAGCCTCCCTTGAAACAGGAAACACAGTTTGAGACTGCACTTGGATAAAGCAGCTGATCATTCAAACTCTTCCAGGTACTATCCAGAATATTCCCATTTCTCAGTAATTCCTGAAGAAGAACAGAACTCTCTAACCTTGACTGTGGTAGGATGAAAGCTTCCTCTCTGTAGGAGACTTCCAGCTAACTGAAACACCAATTGTCTTGTATGAGATGAAGAAGGTCAGAGACAGAAAAGAAAAAGAAGCAGATGAGTGAGTCATGAGGTTTCTTGGCTTTCATTCTTTCCATTAATTCTGAGGATGATTATAGTTAAGGTAAAAGCACTAAGTCTGCACTGCTGAGCAGGCTCTGGCAATGATCCCTCAAGGAGACACTGCAGCTACAGCTTACCCATGCAGAACAGCTAAATCATCTGCATGCACCACAGTGAAACAGAAGTGTCATGCAAACAGTGATCTAACCTTGTCACTAAGCAGCAGCATCTCAATTCAGAGTACTACAAGGACTCATGCCTGTTTAAGTGCATTTCAAATGTAGCTAGACCTCCACCAGAACTCAGACAGTGGCAGCACGGTGAGCATGCCAGGAGCATTTGATCTCCATGGAGAAAGCACTGAAACAGCAAGTAGCAGATCTGGAAACAGCAAAGTAATACGCTTCCGGGTCTGTATGACCCACTCATCCACAGGTGAATTTATCACAAAATAGCCATTGAGTGGGGCCCTATCTGGCAGGCATTTCCAATGAAGTCATTCTTTAAAGCAGGAGTTTTTAATTGCTTGCTCCCAAATACCTATATAGTTATTATTTTTTCAGTACCAGTCACATAGTTGCATTGCTTCCTGCTTGCAAAGGCCGCTTGCCTTGGCTTTTGATAACTTCAGACAATTAGGATTTGTGCTACTCCCAGTAGCTAATTTCTTACAGTAACCCGTCTTTAATATTGGCACAGGAGCTTGCAGACTGAAAATAAGGAAAAACAGTTTTAAAATAAGCAAAATGCAAATCTATGTGCAGAATATTGAACTGGAACAGTCCTAACTGAAATGTAGTGAAAAGTAATTAGTGTCTAAAGAAGGAAGAGACAAATAGTACACAATTTAGCATCACTCTCTCTCCAGTGGAGAAAAAAATGCTGTAAAATAAGAGAGTTAAAAAGCATACTTCAAGAATTCTTGTAGCAATGGTAGTTAATTGAGACTAGCTAACTTAATTTAGACCTTAGTTCCCTGAAGTATTATTCTTAATGCCTTTTATTTAACAGGGTCTGTCTTCTAACTGAAACTTTAGATTAAACAAAAAAAAATTTAATTACAAAAAAAGGTAAAAATATCCATAGAAACTCAAAACCTAAAGCACTCACATGTAAGTAACTTCTTCATCAATTATTTCCTAATTAAATTCTACACTTTCTGGAAGTGGAAGCAGAAGAAAGCATTTCCAAGAAATTAGCAGTCTTCACCTTACTGTCCTTGCATCCCTTCCTCTCTGAAAACGAGAAAGGCTTTGCAACACAGATAAAGATGAATCCATAAAATGGGACCTCAGCAAGTGATATCACTTTTTGGTCAGTCCCCAGTTTGATTCTCTAGAGAGAAGTTGCATGACAGCAAACATCTACTGCCATAAGAATATGGGTTCAGAAGGGAAGTAACTCATTCATATAACAGAGTCCTGGGCAGTGGTTATCCTCAAGCAGAACAAACATTATTCTGCCACCATCCTACCACACTCTTCCATAGCTTTCCCCAAAGCATCTCAAACTAGGCCAAGTCTCAGGAAAAGAACATTGTTGATCATGAGTGGTTCTCAAAATAGGTAGAAACATGAAATTAACATGAAGTCTTTATCCCCAGAAAAAAAAATAAATTGAAATTTCAATATCCAGGGAATGTATACTTAATACCTATGATGGCTTTTAAGCCACAGAAAATGCTTCTATTGCATGAGAGCCTAGCACATAAATAAAATATGCTCTTATTAATGTGGTATGTTTCAGGTCAGCTGACAGCTTGTTTTGTTTGAACATTTTACAGAAAGTTTACTGAATGGATTATTTTGAAGATACACATTCATCATCTAAATGCTTGCTCAAGCAAATGAGACTCTGACCTCCTTACGACAAGGAATCAGTGGAAGTAACTTAGACATACTTGGTTCAAAAAAGGCATGTTAGACTATTTTGAAAAGAAATCTTCTTTCCCTTCAAGGAAAGGAATAAAAAACCCAGGACTGGCAGCAATTCTTACTAAAGGACAACTTCCACCACTTTCAAGTGAATAAGACAGATTAAATATGGGCATAATTCAATAGATTTTAATGAATAATGACAGAAAAAGTCATTAGAAAAAACAAACTTTCCTTTAAACTGCATTACTAGTTCAAAGTATCCCCTTGGTAAACTATCTAAAATAGTTTTCTCATAAAATTAGTCAGACAATCTTACCTAACACATAGTACAATATCAGCATCAAAAAAATATAGTTTTCAAAGTGAACTAAAATAGATTTTATTGTGATACTTAAGCAAAAAGTCTTGGCATACCCAGGAGACTCTCACTAGCATGTCCTAGTCTAAAATCCCTAGTGCTCCGACAAGAGATCCTGGGGTTAGTGCTGTTACTGTATGGCCCACTGCTACTCTCACTTCCAGGAGGGTGCCCTGCCCTGGGGCTAGCAGGTGTCTGATGATGGAAGCCCCACAGCTGATCCAGAAGGGACTGCATCCCATGCTCTACACCAGACTGAGAACACACCACAAACAAATAGGATAAATGCCACTTGTATATGAATTGGAAAGCCCCTTGGGACAGGGGTTAGGGGCTCTTTCTAAGCATTCTAAGAACTTTCTATGTTCTGTGGACTATCAGGCAGAGTATTAATCACATTTACTTGAAAAACACAAGGGAATAGGGTCTCAGACCTACTTGGCCTGACTCCATGGGCTTAGCAGCAGCTATGGGAGTGAAATGATGACATGAAGAACCTCCCAAGGGGCGTCACTGAATTAAATTATTTTTTTCTTTCTCCTTCACTGACATGTTTCTTTATTTTAAATCTGATTACCTTGGCACTCTTGTCAGGATAGTTTGTGATAATCCTTCCAGGAAAGCTACGTTTTAATTGTTTTTTTAAAAGTCAGACATTACCTTTTCTAAAGGGCTTTCTACTCTTGGTATGCTGATCATGGGCATCTGGGTCAGATTATCCAGATGAGAATGTTCATGTTCTGGCTGACGTCCTCTGAAGTTATTTACCACACAAACAACCTAGAAGGGATTACAAGATAAACAGAATGCTTAAGGAACAACTCACTTTTTCAAGCTTTGATCCAGAAAAATATCATTAGGCAGAAATGACACCAGCTTTAGTCACAGCTTTACAGTAGAAACACTGAAATGTGAAGTTCATGTTTTACAGAAAATCCTTAATTAATATTTTAAGACAAAAGACCTTCTACCAATTTATTGGTACATGCATCATTTGAGAACCAAAAAAAACCTCTTATCTAAAAGAAAATCCATTACTGAAGCTACATAATATAACAGCAATTACTATCAATGTCGTGAAGAGATGTCTTGCAGCATCACATGGCATTAACCTTAAACTCTTGGGAAGGCCAGTGCCATCTCAGTTTTGATCAGCAAAGACTTTCTCAAATGAAGAGTAATAAAGGGAATAAGAAGGCAAGGACCATGCCCAAGTCTGAATGTAACTTCAAATCTGCTCAGGGCAGCAGATTCTCACAGTGACTTAGAAACGTGACGTGTAACAGTTTGTGTTCTACTAATTCCAACACTCAGCTGAGCAGCAATGTTCATCAGCTGCATTTTTTTCAAAACACAACTAAATTTGATATCATGCTACTCAAATGTGTTTATGCAACATGCATGACAAAATATAAGAAAAAATGCTGGGAGAGATTTCCTCTCTATTCTGTTCTCTTTTATTAGTTATGGGGCATTAACAGAATGGAAAATCTTAAATGTGAACAACCAAATGTAAAGCCTGGACACCTTGTATGGAAGGGAATGTTTGGAAATGCAAGCAGCTGTATTTTAAAGGAGACTTGCAGCTACCCTTGCATGTCTAGAAGAGTGAAAACACCCACCCCAGCCATCCCTGGGAGGGTTCTCAGCCAAGCCATGCTTTCAGATGCAAGATCTTGAGACCAAGACCCTGCAATCCAAGAGTCAAACTCTAAAGTGTTTTCATGGGGAAAAAATTCAAATGTGTATTTACTACTATTACAAGCTGCCAGACAGACAAACCTAGAGACATTAAACAGCAATGACTGCTCTATTCTATATATGCAGTCTTGCACTGCAGATATTAGTGAAGGTGACTGATAGATTAGAAACAGTTTTCTGACACAGTAATGACTGGCAACTGCAATTAACTACCTGGTTTTGGAACACAGCTCCAGAAAAGGAAAAGGCTAACCAAAGACTTTTTTATACAGAATAATATGAAATTTTAACATAAACCTGAATCACTATGATCATCAGAGTACTGAAAAGCCAGAAAAAAAACCTGCTACCTATTCTCTGATCAGTCTGGGTACCACTCTATCAAATTTAATACTTTATACATTAAATCATACCTATGCATTATTCTGAGCAATATATACTTCCTGCAGGTGGGCCTTGCTGCAAGAATTACTGTTTGAAATTGTTGTTGGTTTATATGGAAGTCAAGAGAGATAATTGCATCAGTCTTTTCTTGACTTCATATTTCTGAGTGTATGTAAATATTACTAAGAAAACTGATGACTAATTAAAAAACCTAAGAAATGTCTTCTGTTATTTAGTTACTTGAAGGCTTTTTTAGAGATACAAACTTATATACTCATTTTTTTCAAACAAAAGTGACACAGACACACACTTACCAAAAATACTGCTATAGATATTCCAATTACAAATCCTGCTATTACATCTGACCAGTGGTTTCGATACTCTGCTACTCTGTTGATTCCAGTAAGGAAAGCCAAGCACATTAAACCCAAACACAGAACAGGTTTTGCAAGCCTTGTTCCTCTGGCTTTCACTGTGTTGGTGATATACATCTGAAAATTAGAAAGGAAGAAATTGTAAGATTGATGGATATCTCCCACTAATTGGTGAATAAAAGCTCTGTATTTTATTTTAATAGACTATGTGTATTTGGTGCTTTTTTTCCAGAGTCAGGGGAGGGTGTAAGGAAACTAGGAGGTAAGAGTAGTAGATCAAGTCATCACACCCTTTTCCTAGGGATACAGAAAAATAATCAGACCATACAGAAAAACTGCATTTTACATGAACCTAAAAAGCCTACAGAAAAACAGGCAAATTGGACAATCCCATCCAATTACTCTCAGTCTGTGTATTTATTTATTAATGCATAGAAGTAAAGAGACTGATTTTCACTGTGCAGAGTTGAGAGTAACAGAGAAAGATCTTTACCCTGAAGTACTATTAGTACTATTACAAGCTGCCAGGCAGAGTAAGAAAGGGAATACATAAAGACCTTGTTTTTCTTTACAAAAGCTTTCCTCCTTATACACCACTTCTTCATGTGACTAGTGATTTGTCAAAAATCAGTGAAAAGGTAAAAAAACAGTGTCAAAGAGCAGTGAAAATGGAACTAAATCCCAGCATCTACTTTTATAAACACAGTGTAATAGTTTTTTAACTAGTGCTGAACTAATACAACCCTGTGCTTCACACAAACCAATCTAAATGCTGCAGGTTTTATGCATCAGACTGAGAAATCCACTTGTCCTGCTGCAGTCTAATTCTCCCTGTGCAATAACACTGAATTAAAAGCAGGGCCTGATAAAAGAGCAGCTCTTCTACCCTAAGAGTGCATTAGTGACTACCAGGTTTAACCCAGAACTTTCCAAGCTCTGATGAGACAATGGAAGAAATTAATATCAAATATTTGACTTTCCATTATCTTGAATCTTGGCATTAAGACCGCTTGCAACACTCCTCCTCCCCACCTGTCAAAAATTCATTACTGAATTGTAATAAACTACAGCTAACAAGATTTTGGACCAAAAAAGCTTCTACTCTCTGCAGAAGATGTTTCTGTAATTAAACCACTGAAAGCCTAAATCTTCAAATTTTAAACAGGATTTAAGTTTTTGAACTGAGGAATGCAAATATTTCCTATGGAGCCTCACTAAAGATTCCAAGTTTGTAATGCCATCACTTTGAACTGCAAAGGAAAACAGATGGGTCTGCATTGAAGAAGCAGTACCACTTCTTTGGCCAACAAATGGGCAGTCCTTTGGGTTGGTTTGGGTTTTTTTTTTACTGTCTGAAACTTCAGTGGAATTTACCAGGAATCAGTTTACGAAGTGCTGCAATAATCCAGCCAAGAAGCAGTTTAGAAAGTGTGGTTACAGTTACAATAAATTGAGTTAAGAAATAGTGGTCAGCACTTGTCTAAGAAGAGTAACATCTCTGACAGTAGTTTTGTTCAAAACACTAGAGAAAGATCCTTGGCTTAGAGGATGAAACAAAGGTTAATCTTAAAATAACATCAGAGAAGTGCAACACACAAACCTTCAGTGTACTTTGTATGATGAACAGGAAACTAGTAGAAAGATTTCCACTAATTCAGAGCAAAGTTTTAGAAAAAAAAAGAGGTTTTGGGTTTATCTCCAAGCCACATTCTCCTCTCTTCTTCCTAGACCATTTCAGAAACTTTCTCCCTTTGCTGATTATTCTTTTATCTTAGCTCCTTGTAGTTTTGCAGGCTGTCTTCAGTGAGTTACTCTTTCCATGCAGAAAGGTGATAAGAGGACTGCAAATTTAATTTCCAGCTTTTTAGTCCCACTGGTTTTCTTCAAGCTATAGGCAGAGTATTGCACACTGAATTAACTCAGCAGCCAACTATTTTAGTGAGTTTCACTGTTCTCCTGGATACTAACACCATTATCCACATTGACACTACATGTTAGGACAGCTGGTGCTAGGAAAAACACTGGAACATTTTTAATACACAATAAGAAAATCAAATTTCAAATACAGCTTTTGGGTGAAGCTGACACAGGGGAGTTAGCAGGAAGCTATTTCACATTTAATTCTGTACTGTGTTACATTAAACTGAAGTGACTACTGAGAAGGAAAAACCTGACTGTTTAAGGAAGATCATGGTGACATACTTCAGTTATCTTTAAGAACCAACTGGTCATTGCCCAAGAAGATTATCTCAATTTTTAATAAGAAAACACGTTATAGTACAAATAATTGGTTCTGCAGTACTTCAAATTTCAACATTTTTAATACAAAGATGAACCCAAAAAATGTTCTGCAAAAAATTCTCTGAATGTTTTCACAAGCAAGCATGTCCTTCAAATCCCTACTCAAAGCACTAAGAAAAACAACCACAGATTCATGCTGTGCCTCACATGAGTAGAGACCTCATTTGCCAAGTCCCCTCCTTGTATGAGCAGTCATGGTTGTCAGTTCATTATTAGAAATAACCTGAGGGTTCTGCCAGCAGAGGTACCTATAGGTACCATTTCTATCTTTTCTTTAAAGAACAGGTACCACTCATGTAAGGAATAGCATTATATTACAATACAAGAGAATCAACAAAAACAGGCCAAACCTTCCTGAAACAGTGTGACAAAAAGTCTGTATCTTCAAAATTCTATACAGCAAATATAGCCTCCTCCAAGGCAGGATTCACAGATACCCATTTTTAAACTTGGCCTCTTGCACCTCTAGTATAATATATTAACACACTCAACTCAGTCAAAGACCTAATTTACACTAAGAATAAAATATAATTAAACAGCTGTTTTCTTCTTGAAGCTGGTGGAAAAATTATAAACCAGCACACTCAGTAATTGACAAACAATAAACAGCCTGAAAAGATGACAGGATTCTTCACCTGCTTTTAATAAATATTAAATGCAGTATCAACAAAGGAAAAGAGCTCAGTGATTTAAAACATTAGTAAGAATGAATGACAATATAACTTTTTACATGGCTAAAGATGTTTACTGAACAACTTCACCTCCATTCCTTTAAAGAACAGGAATTCAACAGCAAGACCAACAGCAGAGATTTTGTATGTACATCAAGGATTGATACAGTAGTTAGAATTAATATAGCAGGCTGCACCTTCTCCTGCAACATCAGAACAGTAGTGAATCTTCTCTCAAAGAACGTCTACCACAGTTCTTTTTTCCTGAAATAAGATTTTAGTATGAAAGATACAGAGCTGTCACCAGTAAGCAGACACAGACAGACAGGCATGTAAGGAGGTGGACTGTTACCTGATCATACAATATAACAATATTTATTAGATTTTCAGAAAAACACAAATTTGACCTTCAGTCCTCAAGATACTGGAAGTAACTGTAAGAGAACTTCATCAATTGAAAGAAAACCTTTAATTTAAGTGGGTTTGAAAATATTAATTTTAAAGAAATTATCACCACCACAGCTGTGAGGTTTCTGATATGACTGGCTCAGGCCAAGGACAAAGTGGATTCCTGGGCTATGCTGCAAGCTCTTTCTAGGCATCTTTCAGCTATCTTTAGGCCCACCCACACCAACATCTATGCACACAAACACAGGTGTAACAGGTCTCAGAATCCCATTTTAGTTACACTGGAGCTACTCATCAGGCTGGGTACTCCAGCCAGGAGGGAAGATAATTTTCCTTGCTGATTTCATCAGCCTGAGGCCCAGGGATGCAGGTAAAGATCCCTCCTGTGTCTTCTATTTTATTCCTCCCTAATTTAGACAGCCTGGGACATAGAGACCAGTCCCTCAGCAGGCAGTGAATAATGACTTGTAAGGCAACAAGAAGAATGAGGAAGAAATCATCGTAGAGGCAACCATCCCAGGCAGTACTTCAAGCATGAATTATCTAATGTTTTCTTTTTCTTTTACAATGTGCTAGCATTAAAGAAATAATCTTGAACTATTTAAGTAGCATAAGTAATGTTATAAATGTTCCACCCAAGGAATTTGCAATATTCATCAGACCTACAAGGAAAGAGACACTCATATCAAAAAGCTGAAAAAACAGTGGGATGTTGTAGTCTATAAACAGGCTCAGTGTTTAGTTAGAATCCTGTTTGACAATCTAAAATCTTTTCAGCTTCCTTCAGTAATAATTAACGGGTCAAACTACTTCTAGAGCAAACCAAAGCCATATTCTCAAAGCATCTGGGTCCTTCTGCAACTGTCCACTGAAGATTTCTTTCAGTGTTTCTGAAGCCTCCTCCAGTTTTCTCTATATGTTTTGATCTAATTATTTATGACCCTAGACAAAAGTTAGCTTTCAGAGTCAGGGGCTGGCTTGGAAAAAGGAAAAAAAAGCTCTAGAATTCTGGACTTCAGCATTAAATGCATTTAGCATTTTCCCACTATAAGCTCCCCACAGCTGTAACTATAAAACAACTGGAGAAGGAAAGAGGTATCTTTCACTATACCAAGACCATAAGATTCACTTATTACAGAGGCTGTTTTCTTGAGGAACTGAATTGTAATGAAGAGCTGACTGACATGAAATTTAGAGGTCTTTCAATAAATACCTGGATCAAATGGTAATATTATTTTATTATTTGTCTGAAAGAAACCAATACACTCAATATGTAAAGCTCATGACATGTGTTTTATTATCAGTATTGAGGGATATCTGCTGCACTGAAAAGAAATTCCACATTCCTAGCACTGTCCCTGAAAGGCAGCCAGAAGAATCCTTTAATTTCATAATAAAAAATGGACCACAAAGTCCATTTTTGACCACAATGAGGTGGCTCTGTCAGTCCTTTCCCTCCTGAGCATCCCCTTAAGCCTGTCTGAGAGGCCTATCATGCCTTCACCAGCAGCCCATTTAGCTGGAATCTAACAGGCACCTCAACACAGGTAAGACTAGACCTACACCTGTAACTGGGTCAGGGAGTGACACTGAGGAGAATGTCACTGCATTCACTGACAGCACTGTTACCCTGACTATCTTGTTGTCTTTTCCCAGTGACTCACAAACACACTACATGATAAAACCAATGTAGCAAAATGCCAGGAGCAACAGCCTTGCATAAAACATGATTGTCGGCCAAAGAAAAGCTCTGCAGAGAGGAAAAAGTTATTTGTAGGCTTTACAATCTGCTATGTCTGCTATGTCTGAAGCCATAGCTGAGGCCAAGAGTTCAACAGTACAAAGCAACAAAAGCTGCCTACAGACTAAAGGGCTATATCAGCTATCAATACATGAAGCCTGTTCCTCCATTATTACAAACCCAAGGCTGAAATGTGTGCAGTAACACAAAGTTCAAACACTACCCTACCAACTGCTTTTGTGCAATGCAATAAGAACAACAACAAAAAAACAAACCAAAACTTTACAGAATGAATTAAGATTTCTTTTAAACTATAGCTAGTAATGACCTATCCCCTAGTTCTGCAGTATCAAATGACAATTGTTAGTCATACATCTTATATTTAAACCTATGGGAATAGGCTGACTAAATCTTCATTTATCACTTTGAAATCCTACCAAAAAAAAAAAAAGACTCATGACTTCCATTTCCTGTGTCTCAGTTGCAGAAAACACCCCAAGTATGTGCATACTTGGCTGTTTCAAAACTTATCTCTAATTGTCCAGGCTATGTCAACTTATGCATATCAAAATGTGGCTTATACAATTATATATTATTTAATAAAGTTGCAGTGTTTGCCTTATGCAGCAAATACTGTTCCAGCTGAGAAAGGGTGAATTGCAATGCTGATAAGAAATGAAAGCAGATGCAGTCAACTTACTAACCCAACTCAATCAAGGACAAACAAAAGATCTCCATGAGATCAGTGCTGACACCTAAGGAAAAATCCAGGCACCAGCCAGATTAGTTAAAGATTTCAGAGCAGATTTACAGTAATTAATTTTGAAAACAGTGGTACACTGGAAAGAATGAACCTGAAAGTCTGAAGAAGTAAGGCAATGCATTACTGAGTGCATCTGTGTTTGGAGCAGGGTAGAGAAAACACCTAATCACAGCTCTGCCGTCAACATTTCCAATGCTTAAGTCTCTACTGAAAGGTACTGGAAGTAATGGAGGCAAACACTACAAAGCTCTAAATATTAGCAAAACAACTGTTTGAAAACGACTGTACATTCAAACAGGAGGGGAATTCTGAGTTACCATAGCAGCCACCCACTCTCAAAAAGGGGGAGAGGGGATAAATGGAAGAGTCAAGAACTTAGATGAAAAGAGAAGCTATTGTTAACAAGACAATATGCACAGATGCTAGGTGAGAAGGACGTGGATGCATTTAAATGGAATGAGATAGGGGAATTATCAGATAAAGCATAGGCTCTGTTTCTAAATGCATTGATTGGTGAAATCACACAAGTCTCAAAGTATTTATTTCACCACCTCAGAGAGCAAGGACCCTTGGGTCAGCTCTGTATATTTTTTTTCCTGTAAGCTGGTTTTGTTTTATGCACAGCTATCTGAAATAACCAGGGAGGATTCCATAACCATATTTCCCTCTCTTCAAAATTTCTGTTAACCAAAAAGAAAGCACATTTTGTAGATTATATTCTAATGAAACAGCAAGTAATATATGGAGATCTTTATGTCTGTGTTCTCAATAACTGTTGTAGCATGGCTCGTACAAAGACTAGGCTACTGTTTTAAATCTTCTACTCTAGTGAACAGCAATGACAAAATTGTTATTTAGGGCCAACTATCCTCATAAACATCATGGCAGTGTAAGGACATGACCCCAGTACTGGAACACTGATTTTTTTTTTTCCTTTGGAGTGTTAATAAATGGTATTTTTAGCTTCAGTCATGCAATAGGATTTAAGTAAAAAAACTGCGAACCTGCCAATATTGTAACAAGAAGCTACTGTGGAACTCAGAAGTCCTGAGAGTAGTTTATAGTGCTCTAGTTAAATGATAGCAGTGTCCAGCACCATGCAGTAGTACAGTAATAACATAGGATATATTTATTTCTATAGTTACTAAAGGAGCAAATAGCAATGAAATGGATCTCAGCAGCTTTAATTTTTTTATATTGCTAACTGTATATTGACCACAGACAAGATTTGCATGAGGCATTCTTGCTCATGTCAAAAGCCACTTATATTAGGTATTAAGCTTTACTGATGCCTACTTTTTGTTTTTAAAATGTATTAATACTATTTTACTTTCTGCTTTGCAGTAGCTGAATAGCTGGTTTCCTAGTTACTCTGACTCACGGCAACAGTGGAAATCCTACTTTACAGATGGATGAGAAAAATAGGAGCAATTAAAATGAAAAATTCTGAGTATTTTCTAAAACAGCTTGCATCAAATTTAGAGTGTTTCATCCTTAGATATTGCCCCAAATAAAGACAATACAAGTGGAAGACATACTTGCCTCAAGTTAGAATAGAGTATTATTGTTCATCCCTTATTTACAAGCACTTGTCTGCACTAACTGATGATCAGCATCTCTTAAACAGACATTGCTCATAAGGAACCTGGTAAATGTTATCATCAGTGCTGCAGATTTTAAGCAACTGGTTCTAAAGCCCTGTGCAGAAGCACTGAGTCGACATACTGTCTGTGGATGGGGCTGGGATCTTTGCCATGTTGGCAAGCATCAGTTTCCAGATCAATCAGGAACTAATTGCTGGCTCATTTGGTATGTGCTCAAAAGCAATACACAGTCACACACCTGTTTATCTACATGTGCATATAGACACATCCACACACATCTATGGGCAGGCCACTGCTCAAATACTGAGGGAACGTAAGGGCTGACTCCTGCCATGACCACAAAGGTACACACACCTGCCTAGTTTCCCACTGACACTATGAAGGCAGCCTTGGGCTCATCCCAAGGCCTGCAGAGGGCTGTGATTACCAGCACAGGTCAGGTAAGACACTCCCACAGGCATGTGCTGTGGAGAACTTGTCCCCAGCAAAGGAACAAGATGCACTTGCTCTTGCTTAAGGCTAGAATGATAACTCCAAACTAAGCCAGAGTTACTTGAGTGATATTAAATGGTGACTCTTCCTCTCCCCTGCCCCTCCACAACCTATACAACAGCTCTGCTCCAGGCAGTAAACACCAGGTTTTATCCCAGTGCTGTTCATCACTCCCTGTAAAAGAGAGGAGAAGAGAGGGGAAAAAGGGTGGATTGTCTTGTAGCTCACTTTATTACATAATCAGAGCCAAACTGACTTTGAATGAGGTACCTATAAAAACCAGTTCTGGTACCAAAAAGACACACAGGGATCTTGAGAAACATGCAGACATGAGAGACATACACATAGCTCACCCTTCTGCTTCACCTCACCAAAGAATATGGCCATGTGTGATTCTACTGATCTGCACTGGGTTAAAACACAGAGAGGTACCACTACCAGTCTGAGGAAAACCCCACCCTTATTCCCTAGCACCCAGCAAAGGATTGTCTCACACACTCTGGAAATGGGGAAAGAGTAAATTAAACCCTTTAAGGACAACTTGCCCTCTCTTAGCAATGTTTTGGCCTCCAAGGCTCAGAAACCACTATAGCATGTCAGAATTAATCCAAATGAACCATTCTCACAGTAACTCACAGAAGGTTTGCATGCAGTAAATCAGCCAATTTTGGGCCTTATCTTCTACTCATTCCTCCCTCCTCCCCCTCACATGGGCAAATGGTGCCAGCCATTTGCCCTCAAAAATACAGTGTTATTAAATAATATGATATACTTACAGCCAGATACATAGCTGCATATATACTTAGTGCTGCTTCTTTGGATGGGAAAGTCTTTCTGGCTTTCATGATAAGGTCTGGATTTCCAGTACAGGCATGTACACCATTGATGAACTGTGTATACTGTTTACATCCAAGTGCTGTATAGTTGGGTTTACAAAGTGCAAGAAAATGGGGTGCAAGATTCCCTGTTACTACTTGTCCAGCATTTACAAAGATGTCCGTAGCAAACAGTCCAAATGCGTAAATTCCTAAAGAGGGAAACAGAGAGTTAAATTTCCTGACAATTTATAGTAATTATCACAGCAAAGTATCAGCTTCTTCCTTTCAAGAACATGAAAAATCCTCCCATGTACTGTACCCTAAAGACCACGGCTCCAACTGGAGATGGTATTTTCCCACAAAACTGCAGCAGTAACACTGCAGTGTACCCACACACCTGATGTCTCTCCCATCTTTCACAGGAACACTCATCCCTTGTGCAAGCAGCCTGCTTCCCTAGGCCCCATAGCCATGCACATCCCCTGTCTGGGGTACCTGGCTTTACTGGTACCTAACTTTTGCCCATGTTCACTAAACACAAGTGACAGAGGGAAATGATTCACCCAATAAATCTGCTTGAAAACCAAGGTCAGACCCTGATGGATAAGTAACTTGGAAAGTCATAACACAAACTGGACAAACTTTTATTTTCCTTGCATCTGTAAAGAATCTAAAGTACTGAATAATTCAGTATCCCCATGCACCAGTTGTCTTCATCTGCCTGCTACTGGGTAAATCTCTATGCATGGCATATTAATCACAGTATCAACACAGTGAGCTGAAGATTTATATATTTGAGGAACTACTTATGCTAAGGAGTTTTTTAATCAGACATACCAGCAAAGCATTAAGCACATGTACTCATTCATTAGAATGTAAATGTATGTATCTGATTACTTAAAAGAAAACAGATTTCTGCTATAAAGAGGTCCCTCTATCCTTTTGTAAACAGAGAAAGAGCTCTGGAAATACATGCAAACACAGCAGCCTGACCAGCAGGCAAAGCCAGTGGGCACTTGTTCCAATTCCACCTGAGCTAGAGATTTCCTCCTGTATTTCCATGGGCAAATAACTGTACCTTTCCCATACTCTAATCTACTGTGAATATAGGGTGAGATCCGGCAAATCCCAATTTCATGGGGTGCTATGAGGAATTTAATGGATCAATATCACAGCAGACATAATTCCACAGAAACATGCATTCATTCAGGTCAGGTTTTTAACTTAGCAAAGCTAGAGGACCAAGGATTTCTGGGATCCTGGCTGGTCAGCAATGTCACACTGATGTTAATTCCTCCCAAGATGCCAGAATGTGGTGAGCAGCACATTGTGCCTGGCCATGTTACATCACAGGAGGGCCTTTCAGCCAGTCTCAAGGGTGTGCACTGCACAACACAGGTGGACACATCACTCTGGAGGAGCGTAATGAGTAGCAATGCTTTGTCTGCTGGAACAGCAGAGACCTTTGTTCACTCCTGCCACCTCTACCAATTTTTTTTTGCTTCTATGAGGAAGGAAGGGACCACTTAGTGGGAATAAAGCTCAGGCACTGATTACACAGAGAGGAACTGGAGTGGGAGGAGCTCCTCATCATCACTCCTGACCTCCTCCAGACCTATACAAGACAGTCTCCTTACTGGGAGCAATCACACTCCGGGAAGGGAGGCACAGTTGTTACACAAACACTGCGAATGCAGACTCAGCTGCACATGCCCTCCCTCCCCCTGAGACTGGGGTACACAACAGGATTAGCTGCCCCAAGGCTTCATTCCTCCAGCTGTTTCCTTCAGATGCAACCATGAGAGAGAAGCAAACAGCAGATTTGAGCCCTGCTATGGCATCCCTACATGCATTATAAATCAGCATCTGGAAATGATAATACACATTTTGAGTGGTGGGATTTCTCCCTCCAAATACGTTTAGAACAAACTAAGTAGAAAAGATGACATCTCATATCTACTAAAGTCAATGGGGCAGTTTCAGCCAAAACCAATGTAGCATAGATTTTGTACAATTTTCTGCTAGAGACTACAATACAATATCCAGGCTAAGAAAGCAGCTAAATCCGCTTGGCTTCAAACACATTTATATCCCAATGTCTTCAACTTTGGTGTGTGTGTGTTTACTACCAGCTATAGATATGGCACAAGGATATCACCTTCCTCCACTTCACCCCTGCTGGCTGTTTATTCCCCTAGTGGTCCCAGTTTTTTCTATTTTTACTGCTGTTTCTGATATTGTTTCTTTAATCCAAACTTCCAAAAAGCTTCATTTGCTACCTAAAAGGAAAACAGCATCTGAGTTAAGACTGCACGTGACATGTTAAATGGCTATCTAAATATTTTCCCCAGATCAAAATTAAGACATAATTGATCACTCTCACCATTCAGAAAATGAAAGCAGTAATTTTGCTCATACCAAGGAATCTGATGGTCCTGCGCACCAGTGGATTTATATAACAACAGTCTCCAGTTAATATTGTTTTCTCTTGGTTTTCAAAATCCTTTGTAGCTAACTGTAGACAAAAGACTGCAGTTTCTCCAACGATAATCTTAGGGGAGGAGAAAAAAAGGGAGAGAAATGGTGCATCAGATTACAGCAAGTAAAATACACTAATATTACAGAGACAGACATCTCATCTTAAAGAAACAAGACCAAACCAGCACAAAAGACAGCATAAGTGAATCAAGTTCTGTACATTAATCTTCTTATCAGGAAAATATGCCTTATGGCTTGCTTTACTTTATTTCCCTTAAAAGAGAATAAATTATTACAACGAGGATTTGTAGGCGACATAACATAACCTAGTTTTCAGGACGAGGGGAAAGAGAAAGAAATCTGTTAGTTCACGAACAACAGATCACATAATGCACAAGATCTGGACCAAAGTAAAGGCCTAATCTTGGAAGATGCTGAACATTTCAGTTCCCACATGACATTCCCTGACACTCAGCACTCTGCAGAGTTGAACTTTAAATTTTGGACTATAGTAGAGAGAAAGGGGGAAAAAAATCCTAACAGAACTCCTGTTCACATCAGAGGTTTGGTTTGCCAGGAGGCACTTAACAGGGTTTGATTCACATTTTGCTAGCTAAATTTATCAAGTCTGGCTTTAGCTCTGCTCCTCATGCTTGAACGAAGTGTCACCACTGACATTTTAACATTAAGAACGGCCTGTTTCACATTCACTCCACCCCAAATAAAGTTCTCATGTCTATATATCATTCACCTTATGGCTGGCAAAAAACCATAAAAACCACCAAACGAGAAAAAAATATATTTTGAATGTAAAACATTTTCTCTAGGTTATGTATTTACCTGTACAACAAAGCATGGACCTTTAATTTATTCACTACAATTATGGACAGACTCAAAAGCCAAAGGCAAGACTTAAGCAGATATCTATCTAAAGCTACGACACTGAAGCTTTATGGCAAGAATAATTGAAAAGCAGAGCAGAAGGGTCACTGACCACTGGATTCTAACCTGGGTTCACTGTGGGGCTTACAGGCAAGGCCCTTCCACTCCTCTACATGAAAAACATAAAGCTTATTGACAGGTAGAATGAAGACTACCAAAGTGAGATCTTAATACTCCACAAATGCAATCAATAATGCCATCAAATCTGATTAATAGCTGACATTTTTCTCAACCTTTGCCCTAACAAGAAAATATAAATATTTTCACATATCATAATAGGTGTGAGCAGTTCTACAAAATAAATAAAATAACCTGTGGGCACTAGCTCACGCACACATTTTCTTGTCAACAGGAAGGATGCAATTAATGACCTTCCTTAGTTGTTTGTAGATTATGCAGATACCCTTGGGCTAAATTGTGGAGCAAAGTGCTATTCATAAATAATGTGGCACAAGCAACAAAAATAACTCTGGAGGCAAGTATGTAAAAAGCAAAATTTAATTTGGTATCAAAACAGTCATTATCTATTACTTTAGACTGGCTTCAGATCCTAGTGGAGTTTTTAGATAAAAAAGAAATTTCAGTACCTGAACTAAAAAATATCCTCTCTCTATTGTGATGCAAGCAAATTTTCAGCCCAGTGAAGTAGAATTTCTTCGACTATAATTAGCAAATTATCAATATACATGAAAAATAATTCAACCTTGAATTCAAGATCATCCAAATTATGAGAAGGAGAAATCAACCCAGTGATCCCTATAGCTCTCATGAAAAAACATACCAAAAATACCAGTTTAAATGTGATTCATAAAGGTGAGAACAGAAACACTTATACTTTTACTGTGAGTCACAGTAATGCTTTTGTTTCCTCTCAAGGTCTAGGCAACCTGAATAGAGACAGATTCAGTCTTTAAGTTTTTCTGCCAAACTCAACAGACTTCAGTAAAATTTTCACAGATTTTGAAATTCCAGGAAAAAGCAGAATTCACCACAAAGGAAGCATCTGTGAGATACAGTGCTCAACCTTTTACAAGAACACCAAGAGTGCCAGCAAGCTCAACTCTCCAGCTCTGAGCAGAGACTGAATCTGCTGATCTAAGAATAAAGATTCTGTTCTTGGCTGGTAGGGAAGCTGGGGTTAACTAAAGAGAGAACGGCTTGTTCAGTTACAGAAAAGGAGATCCTCACTTCCAGCAATGTCTTCATCGGCTGTATCTAGATCTTTGCTGCTGCCAACAGCTTTTCCTTGTTACATTTCCTGTCTTTGATGGTGACCTGTATGAAGAAAACCCTCTGTTCCAAGAACAGCAGCATTCAAGTTCTTAGCTGAACAAGAATAAGGGTGGGCACGTAGGTGCAAGGGTCAGAAGGATGTGGAATTCAGCTAAAAACAAAATTTCTGCTACAGAAGGCCTAGTGCTCTACTGTCAGAAGTAATAAGAGTCATTGAGCACACAAGGCATTCATCTCTATGCTTCCATGGATTCACTTTGATAGAATCCTTCTAGAATTTGGCAATAAATACAGGTTCTTTATTTTTCTGTACTGGCAGCTCAGCTAAAGCTGTTCTCCTTCCTCCATCCTTCAGCACAAGCACTGCTCGTCTCAATAATCAGCCTATTGATGTTTCAGAAATGGAAGAAAAATCCTTTTCAATCTCAATAAATCCCAGGAGAAATTCTGCTTCCCAGTGCAATTCCTTCCCTTTCTTCTCTCCAGCATCACTGGCAATAATCAGCTCTACAGGGCAGAGGAAAAGGAGAACGATATGCCCCCTGTACTTTACAGCAATTTGCCTGCCAGGTATATTCCTGGAAGGAGCGATTTCTGTATTCCTGCTGGCACAGGAACCATCATTACCCCTTCCACTGCATATGCAAGTTGTAACCAGCCAACAAATGACATTTAATTCAACAGAATTACTTGTGTTCTTCTATAAGTCTTGGGGCAAAAAGCTTTTGGAATATTTTATTTGGCAGTTTCACTGCCAAAACTGGGAGTTAAAGATTACAATGGAGAATCTGAATGTTCCGACAACATAAACACCTGGACAAAACTACACAAGTTCAGGTATAGAAATATGATTGCAACAACAAATAGAGGGTATTAGAAGCATCTTTTATCTTATTCTAACAGGGTCATACTACTTTAGATCATTGTACTAATTTCCCACAGGTATGTATTAAAATTCTTAGCTCACAGATCTTTTAACAGTTGTTAAAAGCAGGGGAGGTCATCCTTCCATTTTGACATACAGCTACAGCATATATAGTATAAGAACAATTTTTATCCAAAGTCTAACAGTACAAAGTGCAGGCTCTCCAGTATTCTGAAGAACATATGTATAAACAACTTGCAGAGTCCTTAGATAAAAACACCGTGTATGTAAGTGTTGAAACAAGGAACACAACAATGATAATTTACTCTTATGGAAGCACATAAATATATTAGCCCAGCAAAAATTAAATTACAGTTGTTTTTGGAACCATCTCTATAGCAATTATATCCTGTCTGTGATGTGACAATCCATTTGACAGCCAGGAACAGAATTTGAGATGGGTGAGATCTAAAACTAATATTTCTTCTTGTTTCACCTCTTAACTCCATATCAATATATAAACTGATTGATTTTCATGGTGTATTTATACTAGTAATACATCATTTTGCATTTATTGCTATCCACCTAATACCTTTCCCTTTCTTTGTTTTCATCTCAGGATTCTTACAGCATTTTGCACACATTCCCTACACTGATTCCTTCCTCCCAAGTAAGTCCAGGATTTTTCTGTATTAGTCATTTTTCTGAATCCAGGCAAGCTGTGCCTAGTTTTAGCACTGCATGTCAATTTAAAAATCTAATTTGTCCTTCCATCCAGTATATTCTTAACTTGGTTCTAAATTCTCCATTCTTTTCAACTCAAAATGTCAAGCCTGACTCATTCCAAATATTAGAGCTAGAGAAGTTCTGACATTGTTGATGTTCCAGTAAACTGACTCCATAAACAAACTTCCCCTAGTGTCTCCTATGTTTTACAACAGCCAGCACCTATATAAATAAATAACCTTAAATCTGCACTTCTTAAAATACTAATGAGGTTTACTTTATGACCTACATTCTCATATATATCACATAAAGCCCTATAAAGCCCCAGGACTCCAGTGAGACTTAAATATTCATTTGCATTACAAGATATCCGAGGATACATTAATATGGTTAAACAAGATAAATCCTGAAATATAAGGTTGATAATCTCTATTTGGGATTAGGAAATAAATTTCTGTGTATACAGCCATAGACCTTTCCAGCTAACATCTACACAAATGTTCAAGAAATATTTCACACAGGCTAGGGAATGTCATAGAATACACGATTCCCTCTCTGCCAATTCTCAAGGTTATGCTGTAACTACAGCAACCACTCAGATAGATGAGTAACACTGAAAAGTGGTTACTGCATTAAAAAGACCACTAAATATTCATCCATGTGCTCAACTCGTCAAGTTAAGAAGAACATTTCACAATACTGTGCATTGTAATTTCTCTTCTGACTTAGTTTCATTCATTGTGTTTCTCCCATTTAGGTATGACTTGAACAGTAACCAAGACTTCTAGGAGACCATCTTCAAGAAATAACCTTGGGAGAATGAGCATCTCAGGCACCCCATAGCTCTGCTTTTCTCTCTAGAATGAACTTCCTCATTCTTCCTTATCAGGAAAGAAGGGAAGGTAGGAAATAGAGCCAAAAAATTCTGGGAATTATTTACATATCTCTAAGAGAATTGTTATCAATTAAATTGCATGGCTTCCTTATTCATTTTGAGTTCCCACATAGTGTGGTGCAGATCTCTTCTAAAAATATGGCTTCTATATGCTTGGTTATTCCTGCTCTTTACCTTGTCTTTTTAACTTTTGAGACCATGGGCTACTCCTGGCCTATTTCCTATTTAAAAATGCCATCCATGTACCAATTATCATAGTGACCTCAGAGTTTGAGAAATCTTGGCCTTTAGTGATGCTGAAAGCTCCACTCTCCACTCGAAGCTAAAATGGTTGAGTGAGGTGACAGCCCCGGCAGGAAAAGCAGCAACTGTGTTTCCAGCAGTAGCAATTTCAAGCTCATTATGCAGAGCT